ATTTTCAAAGCATAATCAAATGGCTAACTAAGTTCATTTATAGCATTTTTCATAACATGCACTAAGCTCCATTCTTCCAAGAGCATAGCTAATCTGCTCACACTATCAAAAACCCCCAAAACACTATTCATCCATAACCCTAACCATGAAATTTTCAAGGAAACAAGGTACAAGGGTTAGAATCTTACCACCAATGGTTACACAACCAAGGATTGATGGTTCCTTAAGCTTCCAAGGAGAGAATCACCTCCAATCACCCCAAAACCTTCAAAGGGTCGAAACTTTGGAGAAGAAAATCCCACAACACAACACTCCCAACCAAGAACCAATCTAGGATTAGGAATGAGGGCGAGATTCTAAGTGATTAAGGCTTTTGAATCGCTCAAATCGGTTGAGAATCAACCTCCCTAGGTTTTCTCTCTCTATTCTCTCTCTCTTTTCCTCTCCTTTTACTTCTTCTTCTTCTCTTCTTCTGGCGTCGACGGGAAATAGGGAGGGGTTTGGGTTTTCTATTTGTTATATCACTTAACGTAAGTTAAGTGGTAACAAGTGGGTATTAGTTCGTCTATCTATTCAACTCCATTAATTACCAAACTTTACCCAAAAGTCTGGAATAATATTCTAGGAATATTTTCATTTTTATTTTTATATTTTGGGTACTTTTGCCTACACCCATCTATACCCCTTAATTTTCGCAGAGTACACTTTTTACCCCCAAAGTGACTCCAATTCAATTAATTAAGCCCAATATTTAATTTTACTAACTAATACATGCTTAATTATTTAATCACATGTAATTTATTTATTAATTAGGTTAGGGCTATTATAGTAGACACCGATCAGCAGCATTTATAGTAAAGAAACATAGAGAAATAGTACGAGGAAAAAGTAGGACGGTTATCAATTATAAACGACTAAATGATAATACCATAGAAGATGCCTATAATATTCCAGATAAAGATACTTTAATTTCTCATATACAAGATTGTAAAATATTTAGCAAATTTGATTGCAAAAGTGGTTTTCACCATTTTAAACTAAAAGAGGAAAGTATTGAATGGACAACTTTTACTACACCTCTAGGGCATTTTGAATGGTTAGTAATGCCTTTTGGGCTTAAAAATGCACCAAGTATATATCAAAGGAGAATGGATGAAATTTTCTTAAAACATAAAGAATTTTGTATAGTATATATAGATGATATTCTAGTATATAGTAAAAACATAAAAGAACATATAGGACACTTACATGTAATATTCTCTGAGTTTGTTAAACATGAAATTATAATTAGTAAAAAGAAAATGGAATTGGGAAAAACTTATATTAAATATTTAGGATTAGAATTAGGAGAAGGTACTATGAAACTACAACCTCATATTTCCCAAAAAAATATAGAATCTACTGAAGATTTAAAAGATTTAAAAACATTACAAAGATTCTTAGGATTATGTAATTATGCTAGAAATTTTATAAAAAATTTTGGTAAATATTTAGGACCATTATATAGTAAAGCATCAATAAAAGGACAAAGGTATTTTAATAATGAAGATAAGAAATTAGTTAGACAAATAAAAGAATTGGTAAAAGATTTACCTCCTTTAGCATTACCACTAAATACAGATTATAGAATGTAGTAACAGATGGATCAGAATTAGAATGGGGAGCTGAGTTAAGAAAAAAGCCTAATAAATATTCAGAAAAAGAAACAGAACAAATATGCAGGTACGCCAGTGGAAAACATAAAGTAAAAAATCTTAGTGCTATAGATTATGAAATAGAAGCAGTAATCAAAGGATTAGATGCATTTGAAACTTTTATTGTAAATAGAGAATTTACTTTAAGAACTGATTGTGAAGCTATTGTAAAATTCTATAATAAATTAAATGAAAATAAAAATTAGGAAGAAGAAGATGGTTAATATTAAAAGATAAATTTATTAATCATGGGTACAAAATTAATATTGAACATATTAAAGGAGAAGATAATTATATAACTGATTATTTATCCAGAACTATAACTAATTCTTGATTACAATTTTCAGATGAGACCAGGAAACAATCCTAGAGCAATTATGTATAATCAAGAACAACAGCAGCGTATCCTAGAACAGAATTCTTACAAAGACCAGTAGAACAGAAAACTGTAATACCAGCTACAAACAATTTAAATTTTGGTAATGTTAATCTCCAAATATACCCCAGTTCTAATGTATCTTTCAGACCACTAGTAGGACAAACTTTTACTTTAGAACAGAAATGTATTTTAGATAATTTATGGGTCTCATTTAATAAAGAACCTAAAGATAGAAAGCATTTTATAGCAGCCATGAATGCTTTAGGATATACTTTTAATTTAAGCCAAGAAAGATTTTGATTTTATGTTGTGTTTGAAGGTAATAATCCTGGAGTCTTTAATTCCTGGAAAGATGTTGTAGAATCCACCAGAAATTTTAAAAATCCAAAGTATAAAGGTTTCCATACAATAGATGAAGCTTTTTCTGTTGCAAGATCTTTCATAGGTCCTCATTTTCATATCCATCCTTCTCTCAGAAATTTTACTGAACCATTACCATATCTAAAAGCTTCCAGTAGTCAGACAAAAGTTATATTTTGTGATCATTGTGAGATCTTATCCAGAACAATCAGAAATCTTAATGAAGAGAGAGAATATCTTGTTGAAGAAAGGGAGAGACTTCTCAAACAGATATTTACATTACAACAAGAAGTAAATAAATTTCAGCAAGAATCTTATGGTTTCCCGGCCACAAAAGCGGGTGAGATAGGTAATTGCTCCCTTCTGAGCAATCAAGAAGCTAGCATAGAAGCAGGTTCTATGCCATCACAAGCTCAAACGGTGCTTGTTGATGAAAAAACAAATCCGTTAAAGGTTGTGGCTTTGCCAAAAAGCCAAGAAGAAAATACTCTAGAAATACTAAAAAGAAAAATAGAAGAGATATTAAATGCTCAAAAGGAGATCAGACAGCTAGTAGAACCTAAAAAAGATAAAGAAGAAGAAGATATATCTCCGCCAATTTCTGGAGACTCCATGGACACAATTGGAAGACAGAACATTGGGGACAGAGTCTAGGTGCCAGACCCTATAGCCCAACCATCAAGACTCTATAGACTAGCTATCAGACTTTATGAAAGGTTGTCAGAAGAAAAGAAAATGTCGGCATAATTGTGTCCATAGAATAATTCTGAATAGAAAACGTTGACATGTCATTTTGTAAATATTAAGTGTCGGCAGGGTTTTTCTTTTTTTTAAAAAAAGCTTGTGAAGAAGTTTTGTCAGGAATCCTACTTTTATCTGAAGTGACGATGGGGCCCAATGAGTACCCGACTCAGAAAAGAAAGGATTACCTATTGTATTTTAATTTCGTGTTTCAATTCCGAGTCTATAAATAGGTAGATGGTTTAATTGTAAACATATCGAGTGAAGTGTGCAAGTACTCTGAGTTATAAACCTCCATGTGTTCGTCTCTGTAATCCTTCTCTGTTTATAATAAAAGTATTTTATTTGCTGAAAACATAAGCTCGCTTTTATTCTCTCAGTTCCTTTAGACATCTTTCGGGGATTTCCGAAAGGAAAATCCTTCTCCTTTCCTAAGGTATTACCATGTCTTCTTAAAAGCTTTTATTTTACGCATATGTATATTCTTCCCCTTGTTAGTTTCTCTTCTGTATATTTTATATTTTCTCATAATATAAAACTGAGTTAGGTAGTCTTGCCCCGTCTGGTATGATTAACTGTTCACCAACCTAATGGAGCCAATAAGTGACCTACATAATTAATTAAAGTAAAGATTAAGGTCCATGGTAAATGTAGTTAGGATAAGTGAACAGTAATATAACCTTGCGGATAAGATGTAGAGCCTAGCTGAAAAAAAAAAAAAAAAGTCTGGAATCAGCCAACTCTGACCCAAGCCTACAAACTTGGTATCAGAGCATGGTTCATTCTAGGCACCAAAATATTACTATAATAAAAGACATGGGAAACAATCTTAGGATGTGGAAAGGAGAGTACTGAGTAGGATAAAAGTCATTATAAAAATTTCAAATCAAATCAGTTTAGAATCTTTCTGGAACAAATTCAAAAACTTTATTATAAATCATTTCTACGGAAAAACACAACAAAAATCAGAGTGGGAATTAGAAACTTTCTTTTTAGCCTTTAACGGATTTGTTTTTTCATCAACAAGCACCGTTTGAGCTTGTGAAGGCATAGAATCTACTTCTATGCTAGCTTCTTGATTGCTCAGAAGGGAGCAATTACCTATCTCACCCGCTTTTGTGGCAGGGAAATCATAAGATTCTTGCTGAAATTTATTTACTTCTTGCTGTAATGTAAATATCTGTGGACAGATTAAGATACAATATGAAGCAGTAAAAGCATTAGAACAAATGACTATTAATAATTGGCAATATATAGAACAATTCTTAAAAGACTTTACTTATAATGCTTCTATTTCAGGAAATATATTTAATAGAGAAATAGGAGAAAAATTATTTAGGAAATTACCAGGACCACCGGGAGAAGAAATTTATAATATATATATATGGGGCAGGATATTCTTACACCAGTGTAAGAGTTAGAAATCTTACACTCAATCTTAATCATTTATCCACTTATATCCAATGACTCATATTACTAAAAACTTAGAGCCCTTAGATATAAATGGGATCAACGGATGAGATTAAGAGTGTAACTTACACTGATGTAAAATGATCCTGACCCTATATATATATATATATATATGAGGTAGGATCTTTTGAAACCGGTGTCAAATTTGAATTTTGACACCTCATATGAGAGCCATTAGATAAAAAAAATCAATGGCTCTGTTTTGTAAGCATATGATACCATTGATCTTTTTTTATCTAATGGCTCTAGTACGAAGTGTCAAAATTTAAATTTGACACTGCTGATCCTACCTCTATATATATATATATATATATACACGCACACGCACGCACACCTCTGACTTCGTGAATGGTGTGCTAACCTGGTAATTCCGTGCCGCGCTATCCTATTCTTGTAAGCTGTTAGTAGTGGCGTTTAAGCAGTAGCAACCTCCCTTTGGTTTCAGTGTTTGTGTCTTTGAGGAATTTAATCGAACACATGGCGCCTCACTCTGCCAATCTATGGGTTTTGGTGGGACTTGGTTTGGCTGGAATCCTGATCATGACCAGAAAGTTGAAGAAACATGCCATGAAACAAGACTTTGGTGCTTTCATCCAAAAGCTTCAGCTTCTACCTCCTCCACAACCTGCTCCCCCAAAAGCTCCTCATCCTCTCACTTCCCTCACCTTTGTTCTATCTGACATGTAACTTATCTATCATGCCCACTTGCTTTTTTTGTTCTAGTTTCTCAAAGTTTGTTCCTTTTTGTGGTTTTGCTTACTGGGTGCTTGCTGTTTTGAACTCACATGTTTGCTTTCTACAGTTGGGGTGCTTTTGTTTCCCCTGAGGAATATAAAAAATGTTTTTTCTTTTTCTTATGCATATCTGGACATTTCAAGTGCACAACATGCTATAAACTTCTCAATCCATTAACCCCATCAATTTGTCTTGGTGGAATTTGATTGGTTTTCGTGTTTTAATTGCAAGTGTACATCTTTGTTTAGATGTTTATACCATTTTTATATTCATTTTCTTCAACCTATTGAAGCTTTTGTGGCTACAGTTTTTTAAAATAAAAATTGTTGTCATAAATGTTACCAGATTTGACGTTGATGGGCATGTTACCACGTTTGGACATCCAGAATGGGCAAGGACTCATGAAGCTGCTTCTCAGACATCTCCTGTAGTTTCTGCTCTGGTTGAAGGAGGTGCAACCTGCATTGGGACAACTGTTGTGGATGAACTAGCATATGGGTTGGTTTCATATTCCATTATTTTTATTTTTTCACTTTAGGCTTTCAATGTAATTTAGTGAAAGAGGAAAACTGATAACTGCCTATCTGGTGGACCTTTTCCTTTTCCCTTTCCCTTGTAATAATGGCATTTTATTAGATGCCCCTGGGCTATGGATTGGTGGTAAGGCATGTGTTAGGTTTTGTTTTATAGGCTAAGAGAAGTAGTAATATGATGGAACCCCTTTTTTATAAATCTGAAATTGCAAAATATATAAAGGAAATACAGAAAATAAACACCAAAAGAACTCACTCACTCTAAAGCCAAATACCTAGGCCAAAGAGATCCTTTCCCAAAACCCCACTCCAAATATTCTGAATACATGAATACCTCACACTCCCACACCCCCCTCCTTATAACCTATTATTTAGGAATATTCTAGAATAATTTCCATAACAAACTAGCTAATTCACTAACTAATTTTGCATTGCTAAACTTGGGCCCACTAATCCTAGCCCATCAATACTCCCCATTCAAAATTCACCTTGTCCTCAAGGTGAGGAAGATGATAGGGGATGTAATTGAAAATCCACCAGGGTCCCATTGCTTGAAGCATATAGACCAACTTGGGCCCAAAAACTAGCTCAAAGGGTGGGAGTGCCCAAGGCCTTATAAACCCCACATTAGTTGCCTATACAACCAATGTGGGACTCCAAGTCCCATACCTTGCAAATGGAACCCCAGCATTCCACCACGCTTCCCTAGTGCGTGCCCCCACGCACAACTCCACGTGATGGATGCTCTGATACTGTAACATCCCAATAGCTGGCAAGGGCAGGGAGTGATCGCCGGTGCGAAAGGGCACGGACAATGAGCGGCTCATGCCAAATCTTGCAGCTTGGGGGTTCATGAATGAATCGAATCAACACCCGAAAGAGAGGGATTCCAGAGACTGTGCTGGTATGGGACGGTACAGTTAGGAATGGCTTATAAGAATTAATTGGTACTACGTATACTAACAAGATGCATCTAATGTTCGGTAGCCCGGATCGGAAGAACTCCACAGTCAAGCGTGCTTGACTTGGAGCAATTCTGAGATGGGTGACCGCCAGAGAAGTTTTCCCGGGAAGTGTGCGAGTGAGGACAAAGCACACTGAAATGTCTCGTGTTAGTGTGTGGGGACAGTCGTTGATTCTTGCAAGTTGCCAGGCATTACAGATACCATTTGATGAGACCTTGGGATCTAGGTTGTCAGTAGCGGCCCGTAGCGGGTAGCGGCAGTCGGCCGCTACAAACCGCGACGCTACGCGATATTGGCCGTAGCGGAAGGTAGCGGCGTAGCGTAGCGGCAATACCGCTACCTGCTACACCGCTACACCACTCCCATGTTGGAATTTGATGGAGAATCCGGAGATGATGATAATTTTCTTCATTAGTTTATTTCTTGTACTTGACTATTTGACAATTTTATTGTTCATTTGTGTTTAGTTTTGGATCCTTCCTTTATGTTCCTTGTATTTGACATTGATTGTGGAATTATGTGTTTGATTTTGTGTGACTTCTTATGTTTGACGTTTCTTGACTGTTAGTATAATATATGTGGAATTAATACTTCACCGTAGCGGCAATACCGCTACCCGCTACACCGCTATATCATTTTAAGGGTCGGCCGCTATCGGCCGCTAACTGCTACTGACAACTATGCTTGGGATGCACCACCCCAAAAGTTATCTCAAAAGGTGGGAGTGCTCAAGGCCTTATAAACTCCACATTAGTTGCCCATACAACCAATGTGGGACTCCAAGTCCCATACCTTGCAAATGGAACCCCAACATAATATTTCTTCAGGAAAGTTATGTGGTTTATGAGGTTAACCAAATGGAGTACAGAAAGATATGCACATGGCCAGGAGTTCAAAAAAAAAGAAAAAAGAATCTAGTTAGGGAAAACATTATCCTGTCTAGAAATTTAGTCGAAGAGATCTCCCCAACCTGTGCGTGCGCAAGAATAACCAAATATATCCTGGTTGCATAGCCACCATATGATGTAGCATTAAAGGTTGTATGGATACCTAGATAGGATGTATGGTGTGAATTTAATTTCTTCCCATTCTTCGATGTTCTGGATTTTTGGATTTGAGAAACATGTTTTCTTTTGCGCATTATTTATTTCCAGTATCAGTGGTGAAAATAAGCATTATGGAACACCAACCAATCCTGCTGTGCCTGCTCGAATACCAGGTGGCTCCTCTAGTGGCGCTGCTGTGTCCGTTGCTGCTAATTTAGTTGATTTTGCACTAGGTGAGCTTCTTGATATCGTTTTAATAGCTTATCTTCGTCCATGTTTGTTTCAATATAGACACCTGACAAGTTCATTGTCACTTATGGATGACATTAAAGGAGGTTTATAGAAAATTGTATTAAATCCTTTGGATATGTGGATATGTGTGTGTGTCTTCCTTCATTGACTTGATTAAGGCCTTTCTCTGAAATAAAATAACTAAGTAGCGGGACTATGATGCTTATTTTTGGTTTAATATTGTCATTGATTCACCATATGCCGATATGTGAATATGTTTCTGATACCATCACACTTTGCGTTATCTTATATAACAGGTATTGATACTATTGGAGGGGTGAGACTACCTGCTGGATTTTGTGGCATTTTAGGATTTCGACCTTCATATGGGGCTGTTTCTCATAATGGAATTATACCTGTTTCAAAAAGTCTGGACACTGTTGGTATGGATGATTCAATTATTGTCATGATTTTTGTATGTTGAAACTGGAAGCTGTTATTATGTCATCTGCTGCATTTGTTGAATTTCTTTTCAACTTTAAATTGCCTTTTGCAGGTTGGTTTGCAAAGGATCCTGATATTTTGCGACGTGTTGGGCATATACTTTTGCAAGCGCCAGTTGTAATTCAACGCAATCCTCAGCAAATATTTATAGCTGATGATTGTTTTCAACATATAAATGTTCCTCTTGACAGGATTTCTCAGGTGGTGATCAAATCCACTGAGAAGCTTTTTGGAAGTATGTTCTTTTGCTTGTGCTTCTTTGCAATTAGATATCATCACTATTGTTCTAGTCACCTTTTTATTTGCCTACTTCTTTTGTGCTTTTTTCAGTTGATTTTCCTTTGTACATGAAATTACACTCCTATCAATTTTTTTTCTTTTTCTCAATGTCAACACCAATTATCTTCAGGGCAAGTATTGAAGCATATAAATCTTGAGGAGTATTTATGTACCAAACTTCCTAGTTTGAAAGAGCTCTCCAACCAGAACAGAAATGGTGAACTGAAAGCTTCATTAAAATCACTTACAAACGTTATGAAATTTCTACAAAGGTTAGTCGCTTTCTTTATAATATGAAATATTATTGTAATTTGTAATTTTATGGCAAACATTGGATGGGAAAGAACGGAGTACCTTTTTTTTATGCGACTCTAACTGTGTGTGTTTACATATATTTTGCAACTATGTGTAAATGACTACATGAAATTTCAGCTGGAAGTAATTTCAATATGTCATTTGAATTTTTGCGTGTCATTTCTTTAGGGCTGTTTTCCCTTCAACAATTTTGCTGTTATATTTGTTCTATTCAATGCTAATCATGTCACAACTTCTCTTTTCAATTTGACTTGTTCCTCCTCTCTATGGATGTTTTAATAGTATAGTATGATTATTTTATCAATTTATTTGTACAGACATGAATTTAGACTCATGCACAAGGAGTGGATAAATATAGTAAAGCCTGACCTTCATCCAGCTGTTTCAGCAGATTTGCATGAAAAGTTTGAGGGTTCTGATGTAGAGCTTGAAAACTGTAAATCTGTTAGAAATGAGATGCGTGCTGCTGTCAATTCTCTTTTGAAGGTAATGATTTTTCAGGACTTTGCCTCGTAAATCCTTCTGATTAAAACCAATCTTCATGCTGTCTCATTCCATTAATGGCTGTCATCTTCTAAAATAATTTCGTTCAAGTTTTGTTGTCATCTTGCAGTGTTCTATGGTACATTAAATCATTACTTGATACAGGTTTCATGACAATTTTAATTTAACCTTTTTCTTAGAGAAGAGTATATTCATAGAGAAAGAGAGTGTATAGTGGGAGGATTTTAATGTGTGATTATTAAAGCATTAAAAGGTGTATGAAATTTAACAAACTTATGGTGAATGATAACTGAAACATTGACTTTGAATAAGAAGAAAACTTGCTAAACAAATTCCTGAAAATATACTCAGACATTCAGTGCATCCAATAGATCCTTTGTAAGGAAAGAGGAGCTTGATAATTTAACATCACAAGATACAATTTATGACCCTTAGAAAATCTAACAGTGCAAGATGCTTGTATAATTCTCTAGTTATCACAAATTTCTATTTCTACTAAAGAAATATATTTTGAACAAGAAAAGTTTATTGTATTTAGTTCAATATTGTTTTAACTTTTACGCTTTTAAGGATGAAGGAATATTGGTCATCCCTACTGTAGCTGATCCTCCTGCAAAGTCGGGTGGGAAGGAGATCTTATCAGAGGACTATCAGAGCCGTGCATTTAGTCTGTTAAGTATTGCTAGCATATCTGGTTGCTGCCAGGTAAAATTCTCTTCCCCGTTTGAAATTTGGATAATGTTGTGCTTTTTTCTATTTTACCTTTTCTTTATGCAACAATAACCAAGCCTTATTCCACTAGGTGGGGTCAGCTACATGTATCAATCAACAGAATTGAGCCCTAGCAAAATCCAAAATAATCACTTGTATCTATAACTATCTATATACTTAGAATTTTTGTTCTTACAAAAGGAAATTTCATGACTTTACCTCAGATTCAAATAAACAAATTTGGAGTGGGTAGTACAAAATCTCCACCAAACTATAGTCCCAAACTTTGAAAAATCTTTACAATGGTGACTTGAAGGCAAAAGGGAAAATAATGTCTGTAAAATGAGATGATGTTTGATGAGGCTTATAGACGAATGGGACATGAAGATAAATGGATGTCTTGAAGAGATAATAAAGGAAGTAAAAATAATGAGATGATGATTGATGGGGCTTAGAGATGAATGGGGCATGAAGAAGGACTGGAAGACTTCTAGAGAAAATAAAAGAAAGTAACAAGCAGAGGCACAGATTGGATACCTCTTGAAAAGGTGTTTTGATATAAAAGAAGGAAACTTATCAATTTGTTATTAAAATAAAACCACTCCTCATGAAATCCCGACTAGCGAGTGTAAGGGTGAGGATATCTTTATACGTAGCTTTATTGTTGCATTTTTGCAAAGAGACATTTTATTGGATTTAAATACGTCACCTTTTGGTCACATCGGAGCAACTTTATTGTTGTTGCATGATCGCCGTCATAAAAATAAAACTTCATCTTTTTTTATTTTATTGCTACAAATGATAGAATCATACCTTCATGAATCTTTCATCCCCATTCTGCTGATTATCATTTCAGGTCACAGTACCATTAGGATTTTATGACAAGTGTCCTGTTTCAGTGTCCTTGATAGCTCAGCATGGCGGTGATCGCTTTCTACTGGACACACTACAGACCATGTATACAACTCTCCAAGAGCAGGTTGATATTGCTGCCAAAACTAAATCATCAAGAAATGTTCTCAGTCAGGAACAATCTGCCGAAATTGCCAAAGAGAAGGTATTGCTCTGATGATAAGGATTAATTCAACACATATATGCGTTTATTGTAATTGTGCAATATAACTGGCATTGTTTACTACTATATCAGCAATTATGTTTACAACTAAGCTGTGTCATGAAACAATAAATTGTCTTTCATTTATAATTCATGAACTTGCCAGCAATGCCTGATTGGGTTTATGCATCACCTTTGATTCTTTTATATCTTCATGGTGGGCGTTTATATTTCATTTAATATTGATGTCCAGATTTAGATTGCAACATTCATTTGTTATACACTATACAGAAGTGGTAGTAGCAGAAAGATATGCAGTGGAAGAAAGTCATTGGATTTTATTCAGAAGCTATCTTCTTCTTAATCCCTTTTCTTTTGGTTTGTTAATGATTCAGGGAAACCAAGCCTACAAAGATAAGCAGTGGCAGAAAGCCATTGGATTTTATACAGAAGCTATCAAACTTAGCGGCAATAATGCGACATATTACAGTAACAGAGCTCAAGCGTATCTAGAACTTGGGAGGTATGCACCATTCTTGCTAGCTCACTCTCAAAAGTTATCTTGCATACATTGTGATGATTTTTTCTCTCTGCTCATGCAGTTACCTCCAAGCTGAGGCAGATTGTACAAGAGCAATTAACCTTGACAAAAAGGTGACCTAAATCTTCCAAGAATTTTGTACTTGGGAAGTTTTAAAGCTCTCTGTCATGATTGATGTTTTTGTCATATAGGCTATAACCAAATTTTGCCTTTACTCCAAAGTCCAAAAATATCCTTGGTTAATGAAAATCAAGGCTTGGTAACTAAAATACAATTTTTGGCATGCTATACCAAAATTGTTTTATGCAATTTTAAGTACATGTCCACTTCTTATGAAGCTCCATCTAACTTGTTTAGATTCCTGCTTATTCTATATTTCCTGGGTTGTGATAGTTGTGCAACATTTTATTTTACAATAACATTTCTTCCTTAACTTTGTTTTTACTCAGAATGTGAAAGCCTATTTTCGTAGAGGTAGAGCAAGGGAGATGCTAGGCTACTATAAGGATGCAATTGATGGTAAGATCTTTCATTTATTTCACATTTGTGTGCAGCTTGCCATTTAAAAATAGTGTGAGGAATTAGAGACTAACTGATATGTAGTATTACTTACCCAAAAAAGAACCTATTAATTACTAGTGTGTTTCGCCACACAAGTGATTTCCTTTTTCGTAAAATTATGCACAATGCCTATATTTAGCTGAATTCTAGTTTATGTGCTTCAAGTATTTCAAAATTCAGACTCTTTGTAAAGAACCAATTCAACCCAAAAGCTTAAGCTGGTGGGTGAGGGCTTTTTAATGGTTTATACTATTTTTTAACACGCCCCCTCACACGAGAGCCTACTGGACTTGAAGGGTGGACAATGCACAGGACCACCTACCTATGCTAAGAAAATTCCACAAGAGAAAGTGGGGGCAGTGAGGATCGAACCCGGGACACAAGGCTCTGATACCATGTAAAGAATCAATTTAACCCAAAAGCTTAAGCTTGTGGGTGAGAGTTTTTTAATGGTTTATACTCTTCTCTAACACTCTTGAAAAGTGTAGTAATTCAAATTCTTCTTTTAATTTGAGATGATGCTTCCAAAATTATATTTTGGGGCTATACCGTAAACTTGCTTGAGTAATAGACAGCTAAGTATTTTTAAGGTTCATCTTTGTTTCATTATTGTTCTCATTTTCATATGAAAATTTCATAATTTTCTAAATCATAGGAGGATCATTTTTCTTTGCAGATTTTAATTATGCCCTCATACTTGAGCCAACCAACAAAATGGCAGCCTCAGCTGCGAAAAGATTGAGGAAGTTATTCCAGTAGATGTTTATGTGTGTACACAAGCTATGAGAGCTATTGTCTTTGGCTACCATACACCCCAGAAAAATAATGCTGGTGAACCTATTCATTTATAGTCACAGGGGCAATGTGATATATGGTTTCTACAAAATGATAATGATTCTTTGTCCTTCATGGCAATTGGCAAGGCAATTTATGTACATGGAAAGCTTGTTTTGCTGGTCCTCAGGTTCTGCAGTACTAGTGCTATTGTCAGTGTTATTATGTTGTCCAATTTTGCTTCTTAGGTAAATACATTCTCGGATTGTAATATACCATTCATGTGATGTGAGGCATAGTGTTTATTTACTCTAGCTTAGTTTAATGGATTTTGCCATCAGTGGTTTTCAAATTTGCCAAATGGAATTTTATGTAGAATGAAATAATGCTCCTTGGAAGCACTACAAGATGTTTTTACACTTTCTGAGAGAATAAATTTTTTGTTCTGCTGTTAGTTTCGCACTGTGGCATTGTAAGTAAATTTAGTTGTATCAACTTTCGTAATTATTTATTATCTTCATAACTACCGACTTATCAAAGTACCCAATGAGTGATAAAACATAAAGATGAAAGTAATTTATATCACTAATGAAATCTTTGTAACTGAAGAACATTCTAGTCGTGTAACTCGTATTGAATGATCCAACTAAGTTTTTAATAATTTATTTTGAGAGTACTGATATATTATAGTAATTAATAATTAACATTTAGTCGTGTACTCGGCCCGTTTATTAACTGGGTCGAGTTATTGGATCACTAAAATTTAACCAGTTTAATTAAATTTATATTAAATTATATAATAATATATCATAAGATGTATTTTAATCAATAATTGAGGGTAGTCTAGTGGTAAGTGATAATACTACTCACTCTTATATAACCAGCCCCACTCAAAAGTGAAATATTTTGTCAAATTTTTAAAAAATCAATTTAAGGGAGTTCAACTGTATAACCCCTCCATTGGCTAGCTCGAACCGATGTCCTCACTGGTATTTATATATGAGAAAAGTATTTATCTTTTGAAATAACATAACTTTATGTCATTTTAGTTGAAACCATGTCTTTATGATGTATAATTGATGATTTTTTCTAGATTTTTTGCTCCATAAAATTAGGAGGAGAAAAAAAGGGGGAAATAGAATATAAAAAATTAATAAATATGCATCAAAATGATGTAATTTCATCTAAAATAATATAAAATTATCTCCTTTTAAATAAGAAACATTTTTTTCTTTATATATATATATATGGAAAAAATGTTTGTCCTTTAAAATGACACAACTTATGTTATTTCATTCTTACAAAGAGGTGGGACCCACACCTTTATATTTTTTTGTCAACACTCTCTCCTCCTTTATCTATCTCTTTCTCTCACTTAAAATGACACAATTTTACACCCTTTAAAATGACACAATTTTACACCCTTTAAAATAATACACATTTTTTCCTATATATATATATACCAAGTAAATTTTTGCATGTATATATCAGTTAAATTGAATATACAACTAAGTTTACTCATTAATTACTAGTGGGAAAAAAAGAGAGGAAAGAAATCTCCATTTAATTTTTTTGAAACGATCTCAAACTATGTAGCATCGATATTGACACAGCACACCAGACACGATATGACACGTTAATTTTAAAAATATTAGATTTCAACATGGTAGGACAAGTTTTGATATTGAATAATATTTTTAATTTATGTTGCGTATATTATATTTAATATTCAATAATTTAATAAAAAAATAAAGCTAAACTTATAATACCCATTAATTTTGCAAAGAAACATAAGATATTACAAATATTTATATTAAATTCAATAAAATAGTAATAGTAATCCAACGAATATAATAGTTAGAACTAAAAGCGCAACGCAACCTTTGAATTTTTTTTGAGTTTCTACAACGCGCGTTGAAGTGTCGGACACGACACATTGGAAGTTTTGAAGTGTCGGTGCTTCATAAATCTGAAATGTCACGGATAAAGAGATAAAAAAATTGTGAACATTTAGGCCAAAGATTTCATATTTGTTGGCGACGGAAATTAAATAGGTGTGTTGATAGCATACATTTGATCCTCTCTATTATTATTTTTGGGAGAGATTTAAAACTTTAATTCTGGAACCCGTTCCAAATCAGACTAGTCGTAAATCGATAAACCAATTGAAATATTAAAAAAAAAAAAAAAAATTTCATATGAAAATAAAAATAAAAAGGAAAAGGAAAAGTTGTGGGTAGAAGAAGATAACGTGGGAAACGTTGGTTGATGGGTCCCTCCAATCGAAGTAACTGCTTAAAGAAACCACCGAATCTCATTCCCCAAAACAAAAAAACAAAACAAATCAACAAAACAAACATTGTCTGACTTTGTAATCGTTAAGGTTTCATCATCTTCAATAAATTCATTACAGCTATCCCTTCTACAAACTGGTGGGTCCCATATCTCTCTCTCATCTTCTCTGCCTGTGATGATATATTTATTATCTGGTGGGTCACAGCTTTACCTTCTACGAATTGTTTATTCAGATTTTTTTTGATGTGCTAGTTACGTGTTCAGATAATAATAATAATATATTATTATTATTATTATTATAAAAGAAAAGAAAAAGAAAAGAAAATGGAGAATTCACAATCAGATTCAAGTTCAACACCAAAGTCTCTGATGGAGAACCTGCTAGGCCTTCTAAGGGTTCGTGTCAAGCGTGGTGTCAACCTCGCCGTTCGTGATGTTCGCAGCAGCGATCCTTATGTTGTTATTAAGATGTCCAACCAGGTTTCTCTCTCTCTCTTAAATTTTGTTTGCATAATTCTATTGATTTAAGCATTTTACATGCTTTTTTTTTTTGATAACCTTTACATGCTATTTTTAATCCTAATAGATCTTGTCTAAATCATGTAAAATCGTAACTTTTTTCCCCCTACAGAAACTTAAGACTCGTGTGATTAAGAAGGATGTTAATCCTGAGTGGAATGAAGACCTCACGCTTTCTATTACAAATCCGAATCTACCTGTCTCACTGGTAAGTCACTTAATTCATTAGTTCATGCCTTCTTTCTTTTTTTAAAGAGTTTCTGTTTTGTCTGGACGACAAAATTGTCTAGTATAAGACTAGTAAATTTATTTCGGATCTGTGTATTTATGAATGAGATAACCTTGAAGTGTTAGATCACTGTGCACAAATATGGCCTTTGACAAAGGGTGTTGTATGTGCACAATGATAGCATAACACTAACAGAGAGATTAGTTATATCTGTAGATTTTATCTCTTATTTACAGAGTATTGAAATTTTGGACCTTTACAATATCTAATGGTAAATCTAAGTATATAGCAATTATGATAAGATTGTGTAAAATTACCTTCTTGATTTGTGTTGCTCTTTATTGTGCCCTCAAGAATACACGCCTTATACGAGTCCATAACAGTTCATTTATTTATTTGTTTATTTTTTGGTTTATGGGTCATGTTAAAAATGATTAAAAATTGTTCATGTGGTCTTTGTCTCTATGCTTGGAAGAAAAAAAAAAAAATATATATATATATATATAGAGGTAGGATCCTTTGACATCGGTGTCAAATTTGAATTTTGACATCGGTGTCAAATTTGAATTTTGACACCTCATCTGATAGCCGTTAGATCAAAAAAGATCAACGACTCTGATTTGTAAGCATGTGACACCATTGATTTTTTTTATCTAACAGCTCTTAGATGAGGTGTCAAACTTTAAATTTGACACCGTGTCAAAGGATCCTGTCTCATATATATATATATATACATAGGGAGAGGTTATAGTTACAACTTTTTTTTTACAACCTCTTACAACCATATATCATGACCGTTGATTTCCACCAATCAACGGTTATGATTTTCGCAAATTAAACTCATTAATTAATTATTAATTCATAATAAATGACAACCGTTGATCGACGGAAATCAACGGTTATGATATATAGTTATAAGAGGTTGTAAAAAAAAATTGTAAGTATAACCTTCCTCATATATATATATATATATATATATATATATATATATATATATATTCATAAAAACAAAAGTAAGAATGCGTTCAGACTATCCACATATGATGGTACACAGTTAAACCTGAAACAATTTTGGACTATCTGTAATTGAACAACTATGTATACCACTTTATGAATTGCTTTGTTTAAACTATCTAATAATTCTTTTGGTATTTTTTTTTTCTCTTTGACATGTTCTGATAAATCAATTTTTGTTTATTCTATTGGTTTGTTCATTGGTTGATGGTTGATCCTTTCCAATTGTAGACTGTTTATGACCATGACACTTTTAGCAAAGATGACAAAATGGGAGATGCTGAGTTCGAAATCTTGCCCTTTATAGAGGCCTTGAGGATGAACTTAACTGGCCTCCCAACTGGTACTGTAGTCACAAGAATACAACCAAGTGATCATAACTGTCTTGTAGATGAGAGCTGTATAACTTATAGCAACGGCAAGGTTATTCAAGATATGATCCTTAGGTTGCGAAATGTGGAATGTGGTGAAGTTGAAATCCAACTGCATTGGATTGATCTTCCCGGTTCTAAGGGTTTGTGATATTTTGGGATGTTTATGTATTTACAACTTTATGCTTATAAGCTGGCTTCTGCCCTCTATTACCTTGTTTTGTCAAGTTTTGCTAAGACTTGAGGAACATACTGAACTTGTTTTTATTCTAGTTTGTAATGCATTAGTACAGTTGAGAAATTCCTTTTGTCATGTTTTAAAATCCATCCTTTAGTTTGTGTTTTTTTCTTCACATGTTGTTTAATACAGATAATGCAAGATAAGCTTGCGTATAAGGATTGTCTTCACCTCAACCCTCGTTAATTGGGGTTTAATGTTGCTGAATACATGTTTCCTCTTCATAGGAAACTCAGCTGGTTCTCAGTGTGTATTGGAAGGGTGGTGGTGGTTTTGGTTTGGTTCCATATGCCACACTTCTACCTTATTACGTTAATCCCCTTGTTCTAGCCTAATTCAAAAGTGTGCTTAAAACGGCGTACTTAGTTTTCGTAAGTGTTAAGATAGTTTGAATGGAAGAACTTAATTCACACTATCTTAACACTTGGAAGAAAATTAGTTACACCTTTCTAAGCACTTTTGTTGGAACAATGGTGCGCGCACACGTGTTTCTTTAACTCTAATATTTGGAAGAGTTCTTTGTTCTAAATGACGAATCCTTGTATCATACTTATCTCGACTAATGTTTGAACTGTGCATGTCACTTGGCACTAAGTAAGATAATAAAGAGTAATGGTATGCATACTACTTCCATTCAGTAATTGCATCATCTTTGTTAGTCATTTGGATTGTAAATTTGGTTCACTTAAACTGCTTTTAAAATGGTTTTAATTATTCACACTGCATATACATCAAAGTGTACTTAAAACAATATAGAAAGTAAAGTGGTTTGCATCTTAAAGTGGTTTCCTAATCAATTATTTCATCTCATGTTTGATTTGAAAATGGGATGAAATTTGGAATAGAAGTATACTATAAGTGTTCTCGTGTTAGATACACTGACTATATTTTACTTCTTTTAAAGAGGAGGGATAAAAATGATTTTCCAGTGAGTGCTACTTTTGACTCTCTCTGCCTGGTACAAGAAATTGAAATCAAAATCTTTAAACCATTCCTTTTAGAAAATCTTCAAATATCACACTCTTTTTCTAAATATAACCTTCGCAATTTACCCATTGTGAATGTGACTAGTACATGAAGTGTGAATGTATGGCATGTCTGTGACCAAGAAATTTCTCTTGCTTCTATACCTTTGAATGTATACTATTTTGACCATGTGAACCATTATTATTTTTCACTTTAACACTATTTTGAATGCAATTAATATATGAAGTGAAATACAACTATATTTTGAATGCAATTAATATATGAAGTGAAATACATTTAATAGTACAAAGTGGGTAAGAATTTCTCATATACATTTAATAATACAAAGTTTACTGGGCCCAAGTATTGTCTTCAGCATTTGGACACGTAGTTGGCCCGTGTAATAAGTGCTAGTTAGCTGGGTGCAGTGTCCCCTTTGACACACCAAAGTGAAGGCCATGAAGAGCCCAAAATTTTTTTACTATTTTTTTTATTCAAGCACTGTTAGATTAATATTAGAGATTTGTCTCCTAACACTATTTTCTCTGATTTTAGGATTCAATTTTGTCTTTCTTAAACTCTCACTTTGAAAATGTAAAATGAGTTTCAAAGAGGAAATTATAAAGTGAATAACCATTAATAAAAACCTTTAGCAATGTTTTATATTTTCATGAAAACGGAAAATCACCTGACTAATAACTTATGAACGTATGATAACTTTTAATTTTTCTCATCAATAATTTCCCCTTAGTTTTTTTTTTAGTGTGTCGTACACTAGAAAACTCAAATTATCACAAATTATTAATGTCTAACAGTAGTCATTATTCATGGGCAAATAACCGAAAGGGGAAAAAAATACTTGTTGTAGTTCTTCCTGCGATAGTACCAAATTCGGGATTTTTTTAAAAGTTATATATATCTTGCGATAAGAACTAATACAAATTTAAAAGTTAAAAAATCAACCAACACCTATATAAGGGATTTCTTTTTAATACAGAGTACCAAATTTGGTACTCCTTTTTTCCCAAATTAAAAAAAAAATTCTATACCATTTGAGTCCATACTTTTTTTTTTTTTGTCATGATGATTTACTAATTTGAAAAATGATATAGATACATACTACCAAAAAAGCTCTCCTATATTAGGTACTTTTACTAATTTAACAATCAACAGAGACCAGAGGAGCCCCATTTAATCAATAAAATATAACTAGATAATCTTGCACACTGAAGATACTTTTGGACAAACCCCTTTACATTGAATCAAAGTTACCTACGAGATAGATTTTCTTTTACTTTTTTTCTGGTACATTTAAAGAAATAAAAGAGGTAAAAACAAAACAAAAATAGTTAAAAAAAAAGACATACAAATCAAAGTCTAAAGAGATAAATAGTAAAAAAAAAAAAAGATTGGAGATATAAATTATGTTTTACATTTTATTTTTTTTAGTCAACGATAAGATAATGAATAGTGATTAAAATTAAAGTAAAAGTGCTACTTATCAAGTAATCATATATATGACGAAAAATCAATAGTTTAGGATTGACCCAAGATGTGAAAGTAAATTAAAAGTTTTTTTTTTTTTTTTTGGAGTTACTCAACCTTAATTATCTCTTTGAGACGAGTTGGCTCTCTCCGGTATCCCCACGAGCTTCGACTCTTTGAGCCGGCTATGGGACTAATCCGGAGTGCGGGGGAACAGTGATGGCTAAAGGTTCAGCCCCTCCCCAAGAATGCATTCAGCGGGAATCGAACACATATATTTTCTTCCTTGCCCTTCCCTACCTTTTTCTATTGTTGTATACTATCAAGCACCGAGTCTTCAAAAATCTCGACGTGTCATCTCCGATACTTTTTGACACTTCGATACGTCCCGACATTTCAATACTTGTTGCAAAGACTTAAAAAGGATTTCAAGGTTACGTTGCGTTGCATTTTGAATTCTAACTATTAGATTCGTTGAATTACGATTACCATTTTATTGAGTTTAATATAAATATTTAGAATATCTTATGTTTCTTTATAAAATTGATGGGTATTATAAGTGTAGCTTTAATTTTTATTAAATTATTGAATATTAAATATAATATACACTACATAAATTAAAATTATTATATAATATCAAAATATATCCTAACTTGTCGAAATTTAATAATTTTTAGAATTAATGTGTCGGGGTGTCGTATCCCGAGTCGATGTTGGTGCAACATATATATATATATATATATATATATATATATATATATATATATATATATATATATATATATATGGGCTTACCGTTTCTCAAGCTGCCGGAGATAACTCTATCTCCGGCTACTAAATGATACCGTACAAAGATAGATCAATGGTGATAAAGGAAGAGAGAAAAAGAAAATCATAACCATTCAAAAGTGAACCAATTAATATAAGAAAATAAATAAACAAAACGACGTAGTTTTGAGGTGGTCGAAGATAAACTTATCTCAAGTTGCCGGAGAAATATATATATATATATATATCTTGTGTAAATCTAGAAAAAATCAATTGGATATTCATAGCCGTTGATATTGCTAAAAGGTTAAAAATAGGTTTTCAATGATATGTAACACAAAATAAGAAACAATAAATAAATATTGATTTACGTGATAAGGAATTTGTTCCCTCTAATTAAAGATCTTTGCAGATAAAGAAAATGGTCTTCAAAGAGTCTATCCCCTATAATAGGTCAAATCATATTCGAACTGTCCTGGTCAGATACTCAATTAATATATGGATATATTCAAAAAAATAAATAAATTTCCTAGCTATTCTCAAGTCTATCTTATCTCAAACTATGAGTTTGAGTAAAACCTTTTTCTTCTAGGATTTTTCATCTATTATTTAATATGACTACAAGAACTTTCCTACACACACAATAATTTGTAGGACTTGCAATTTTTAAAACCAAAAAAAAAAAAACTCTGGCACGCAAAAGGAATCTCTATAACATAAGAAAATTACTTTTCCTACCACATAACTCTTACAAAACCCTTTCTTCTAACTACAATTGTTCCATGATTTATTTTGTTTCACATCAGAACTCACTCAGTTTCAAGAGTAAACAATATATAGACTCATCTATTTGATTATTCGTTTATAAAATGGGCAATGAGGTATGAATTCATGACCATTTAATCACATAGGTAAAATGACTAATTTAATATAAAAATTAAATTATTAGGTAAATATCATATTAATAATTTTATTATATTAATATAAAAGTAGCTTTTATGTGTAGCATTTTATCTTAATCGTTTTTCTTTCCCAAAAAGTTGGTTTCCTTATCTACAATCCAATTGCCCATGCAACCACGGCAAAAACATGTCTGCAACAGAATTATCCCACTGCTTTCTTGTTTTGTCTCATCAATTATCTTCCTATTTCCTTGATTAGATGAACCAAAGAACTGTGGGGAGAACAAGAAAAATAATAATAATGAGCAATATCTAAATTATGTATATTAACTTATGTCTACATTGTATATCACATAGTTCAGAGCATGAGGTTTCATCTTCAGGAAAGATGTGCATAATTTTCAATGGAAAAAATATTTCTCGGGTCACCAAAAATAAAGTTATATCCAGTGAGCTCAAAACGACATCGTTTTGGAATTATACGATTAAAAATTATAATGATAAAAACTAATATAACCCTACAATATATTATAATTACAAAAACACCTTGATTTTCGTCTCAAAAAGACGTCGTTTTGAACTTACCGGAGATAACTTATCTCTATTGACTAAAGAAATCCTTTACTCTTTTGAATCATATATATTTGCTAAACATTTTAAGCCTCATTCCCTAAATACATAAATTCCTTTATCAAACTCCACAAATTGTTCAGATACATTGCATACATGTTCCTAACTGTTGGTGTATTCCATGTTTAAAATTGCATTAAATGGGTGTGTTAGCCACCCATTTTTGTTAGCCAATTAAAAAATTGAAGGGCACGTATTGGGAACAAGTGAATTCTTTTTTTTTTTAATTTTTTTTTAATGCAAAAAGATTACGCATTCATTCAAGGGGTTAACCAAGAGGTAAATAAGACAAACAAGTTTATAGATTAAAGAACAATGAAATTAAACAAATCAAATGCGTGCATTCAATTTAAGCTCTTA